ACCTGCCCCCCCCTGCCGCCTCTGCCACGGCGGGGCCTGGGTATAAGAGCTGTTTTGCCGTGACCGTCCCTGAGGCCTACGAGTTCTTTTTTTGTGACACCATCGAGGAGGAGGATGAAGAGGCTGAGGAGGCAGAGGCTGGCGGGGCCCAAGTGCAGTGGCCAGAAGTGTGTGAGTTCTTCTTCCGGGACAGCCGGGCCAAGAGGTCTGGGCCCCGGGGGGGCCACTCCCCGGCCCCAGCCCCAGAGGAAAAAAAAGCAGGCCCGGGGGCCCCCCACGCCGGGGCCCCAGGGGGTGCAGCCTGACCCTGCGCCGGAGCCCAGCCCAGTGGCCACAGAGCAGCTCGACCTGGTGCTCAGGCAAGCAGGTGCGTGTCTCGTGGGCCCCATGGCCTGTCCAGGTCCTGGGAACACACTGTCCAGAGATGTCAGCCAGAGGGCCATGGCGGGGGGAGGGGGCAGGCCAGGAGGCTGGTCTGAGCCAGGGGGAGGCCTCAAGGAGGATCTTGGAAGGAAGGAGCAGTTCCTGGCCATCCCAGGACACAGTCCAGGTGGGGCAGCCCAGGTCACTCAAGGGTTTGGCTGTGCATCAACTGTCACCCTGAATTCAGGCCCAGATGACTTGACAGCCTTGCCCCTGGCCTCCAGCAGGGCAGGTACTGGGCAGTGGGCACTCCGTGGACTTGGTCTCACATTCCTTCGGGAAGGTAGTTTAGGAACCAGGAAGTGGTGCCCAGAGGCAACTGGCCCAAGTCGACCTGACTCAACTGTGCCCCACACACTGCGTATCTTGGGACAGAGGCATCACGGGGAAGAGGTGACTCAGACAGACATGTCCCAGGACAGACGTGTCTCCAGACAGACATGTCTCAGGACAGACGTGTCTAAGGGGAGCAGCTGGAGCTCAGAATGTGCTTTCCTTTCCTAGGGGAGCCCTGGGGTCCCCTCACCTCGTTTACCTTCAGCCAGAAGGACATGTGCCTGGTGTTTGTAGCCTTTGCCACCTGGGCTGTGAGGACCTCAGATCTGCACACCCCAGATGCCTGGAAAACAGGTTTGGGGGCCCTGGGGGGAGTGGGGATGGTGCCCAGAAGTCAAGTGGAGGGGCCAGCAGGGGTCAGGGTGCCTGGGGGACACAAGGTTCTTCCCTGACCTCGCTCCTCTCGTTGCTGACCCACCGCTCACCCCACGGGCTTCCTCTCGCCCTTCGAGGCTGGCCGTGCAGGTGCAAGTGGTGACCAGGCCGGGAGCTGGCACCCAAGCAGCTCTGCTTCCCTTGCAGTCCTGCTGGCCAACATCGGCACCATCTCCGCCATCCGCTACTTCCGCCGGCAGGTGAGGCTGGGCCGCCGCAGCCCCAGCCCCTAGGAGCCAGGCTCAGCCCAGGAAGATGCAGGACCAGGAAGCGGCCACAGGTGCTCAGGCCGAGGTGCTGCCCTCTGGCCTTGCCCTTTGACCTTTGTGTTCCACGGCAGCATCTAGAAGGAGCCAGTGTCCTCGGTCCTGGCTTTTTTGGACTCCACCCGAGGCTCAGGCCAGTGGCCGAAGCCCAGGCTGTGCCCACACCTGGGAGGGGAGACTGGGAAGGTTGGGTGGCTGGGGTCCAGCAGGGAACTGGTTAGGAAGGTGGCCAGGTTAGCAAATAAAGCAGGGTGTCCAGTAAAGCTGGAAGTTCAGACAGGCAGTATGTGAGAGTGCTTATACTAAGAAATTACTTGTGGTTTCTCCAAAATCACATGTAACTGGGCGTTGGTATTTTGTCTGGTAATCGAGTTAGAAGGTGAGTGGTGGGATGGAGCAGGAAATCAGAGGGTGTCCGAGCACCTGGAGACTGGGCAGGGGTGGGGCTGGGCTGGCAGGGCCTCCTTGGCCTGTTCGAGCCCTGAACCCCAGGGCCTGTGGCCAAGGTCTCCTGGCTGCTGCCCGAGACCAGGAGCAGGTACCTGGAGGGGCTGCAGGAAGGCGACCCCAGTGGCCCTGCGGGGTTGGGGTCTGCAGGGCAGAGCCTGGAGCCCCTCCTTGGGGAGCCCTGGATAAGGTTCCAAGCAGAGTTTCATGGTGTCAGGCGGAGGGATGGGACACTGGGCTTGTCCCAGGGCTGAGAGGAGCCAAAGAGAGGGCAGGAGGGTGGGCAGGGGGCCAGCCGGGCGCTGGAAGGGCATCCAGCCAGGCAGCGAGCACAGGTCCCCGGGCCACAGGGCCTGCTGGCTGTGGGTAAAGAACGTGTGGACACAGACAAATAAAATCTTCTCTTCTTCCTTCTTTAGTCTTTTGTCCATTTCTCCGAGCAATGCCACCCACCCACATGGGCAACCCTCCTAGCTCTGACCTTGCTGACCTCGGGTCCTCATGACCTCTGACCTCACATACTCTGACTCTCTGTAACCCAACTTCCTCAGCCCTCTGACCTTCACCTTCAACCCTGCTCCGTTCTCCCACTCCCAGGCGAAGCCCCTCAAGCTCCTCCCTCACACTTTCCCTGGGGGCCAAGGCTCAGCCCCTCTGGGCATCGAGCCCTCATCTGTGGTCCAGGGCGCTGGTCAGGGCATCCTGGGGGGAAGCTGTCCTCCTGGTCCCTCCAGATCCTAGAAAACTCAGGGTTCTGGAGACCCCCTCCACCCCCCAGGGTCAGACCCTGACTGGGTACTGGGTGGGGGTGGTTGGCCGGTGGCCCCACAAGGAAAGACCCAGGCCTTGCTGGAGACCCCCCCAGAGTCGACACTGGCAGGTGGGACTGAGAAGCGGCTCAGATCCACTGGGTGAGCCCCCCCTCAGCCTCAGGCGCTTCTCGGGGCCACCGCCGGCGGGAGGGAGACGGAGCCTGGTCCCAGATGTTGTCATAGCTCCTGGGGGGTCCGCCGTCTGGTGGGAGGGCAGAGGTGTGTGTGTCTTCAGGAAGCGCCACCCGAGCTCCCCCCAGAAGGAGGCAGGGCCTCTCACTCACCTGGGGGAGGCAGCGGGGGGTCGGGCGAAACTTCCCTGGGAGGGGAGACCTGGGGACCCCAAACACAAGTGTGAGAGCCACGCCCTGGGGAAGGGGCTGGGAGACCAGCGCACGAGCTGCCACGGCTGCCCGTAGTGCCCACTGCCCCAGCATCCGCCTCTGTCTCTCCTGCTCCCAGGGGGTCCCCCAGGGCCCACAGAACCCCTGTCCAGGTGCAGGAGGCTACTCACGAGCCGAGGAGAGTCGGGGGGCTGAGGCCCACGGCCCTTGACGGAGCCCCGGTGCCGCTGAGAGGCTCGGGGCTGCAGGGCTCCCTTCCTGGAGAGCAAGTGGGGGCTGGAGACTCCAGAGGTGGGGTCGGAGCGAGGCACAGACACGGGCACAGAGGGGAACGGGCTCGAGGGCTCAGGTCCGAGCGAGCTCTTCATCGCAGCGAGGAACTGCCAGGGAAGGGTCGGTGGGTGACTGAGGCCCCGGGCTGGGCCTGGTGGAGCTGGGGGGGCCCCTGCCCGCAACCCCCTTTCGCCTCTCGTGGCCTGAGCAGACCGCAGGCTGCCTCTAAACCTCAGGCGGTGGGAACCCCACACCCAGCGGGAGGAGCATGGTCTAGACCAGCGGTCGCCAACTGGTGGTTCGTGAGGTCCGGAAGGTTGGCGACCGCTGGTCTAGACTCCAAGCAGCAGGCTGTGGGCACAGCTGGCCCTTCTGTCCCCAGCAGGGCACTGACCTCACCCAGGCCCCGGACGTCTCTGACTTTGTGATGGGAGGTGGCAGGCGGTGTGTAGGGGTCAGCGTACAGGGGGGAGTGAGGTGTCTCTAGGGAGTGGTCTTCGGCCTCCGGGCCACCCTCCAGGCTCGGCCTGGTCAGCTGCAGGCAAGAGGCAGAAGAGACAGGTTTCCAGGAGCAGGACACCCCGCATCCTCCCTCCTCGAGAGATGCTCCTAGGTGGTTCCAGGACCTTCCGGGCCAGGGGACAGAGGCCAGGGCGGTGCAGGGCAGTGGAGAGCCAGGCTCAGGGCTGGGTCAGTGTCTGGGCCCACCTTGGTCAGATCCAGGTGCAGCGGGGTGGCCGGGCCAGGCCCCTCGCCCCGGGCCTTGCTCCTGGGTGACCGACTGCTGCCGCCCCGTCTTAGCTCTGCCTTCTGCCCACTGACGCTGGTCCAGCCAGGGTTGGCCTTGTCCTGTGGGGAACAGGACTTTCCAGAAGGTTCCCGGAGCCCTATCCCACACAATCCTCCGAGTCCCCTCCCCCAGGAGCTGGCATCCCGGGCGGGATGGAGTGCCATGGGGACCCAGGCTCCTCATCACAAGCTCACCTCATGGCCCCTGCCCCTACCCCCAGACACTCACAGATGCAGGCTGGGCAGGGCAGCCAGCTGTGGACGGAACTGAGCACTCGGGGAGGGAACGGCTGGTGCGGTTAGAGTGGGGTGCTGGGTACCCCGAGTCCCAGCTGGTCTGTCCATCTGAGGAGAGCGAGCCTCGGCCGCTGCCCAGGACCTGGCAGTGGGTGGGGGACAGTGAGCCATGTGGCAGGACGCTTCTCACCACCGACCACGCCCAGCCCCACCCGCTGCCCTTCCGTTTCATCACCGCCCACCAGGGCCTGTGACCCTCACCTGGAGGGGCCCCCGCAGCCCCGGGAAGCCCTCGGGGCCGGGCAGCAGCGGCGCTCCCTCCCGGCGGGAGACGGTCTGCAGGCAGAGGAGCCAGTGGCTGTAGTCCTCGTAGCTGGCGCACAGCACCCGGATGGTGTTGATGAGGGGGCCTGGCACACAGACACCGTGAGCGTCCCCAGGCCCAGGGCAGAGCCGGTAACCGCAGGCACCCTCCCTCCCAGGCCCGGGCACAGCCCACCTTCGATCAGGAAGGAGCGGATCTGCTTCTCCTTCTCCTCCAGGTTGATGTGGATGGCGCTGAGTGGAAGCTCCCCCTGTGGGGCAGCCACGGACGTGGGGCCTTTGCCTGGGGGTAACCCTGGGGCTCTGCCTGGGCCCATCACTCCCCTCGCCCTCCAGAGATGGGGATACCAGGCTGGGCGAGGCAGGGCTCCCCATCTGCCCCGGGGGCATCCCCACGCCTCCCGCTGGCCTCTGGGTGGGGACCTCATCAAGCAATGGCAGACACAGACGCGTGCTCATGGGGACGGGTCCCCTCCATGACCGCTGACTGGGAGAGATGTTGGGGGGACTGAAGCCCCCATGTGTGCTTCTCGGCAACAGAAGACCGTGGTCACCCCCAAGTGATGTGGCCAAAGACCCTCAACGGGGACACAGGCGCCCAGACAGGGTCCCTCTTGCTCACAGCAGAGCTGAGACCAGACTGACCAGGGCAGCAGGCTGGTAGGTGGGGCCAGGATGCTCTGTCCCAACTGGCCCCGAAATACAGGTTCCTCCTGAGCTGCCACCCCCTCCCACCCCTACACACAGGTGCCTCCCTGGGGCGGGTCACGGTGGGAGGACCTACCTTAAAGCAAAGCCCGTCCGCTTCCTCCGAGAAAATGGCCAGGGAAGTCGGGTACAGGACCAGGATCCGGTCCCACCGCTCCTGCCGGGGGTCAAGGGCAGAGTGGAGAGGAGCGAGGGCCTGGCCGCACCTGCTGCCTCCACCCTCCCTCACCCCTCACCCCTCAGCCCGCGTCCCCACCCACCTGTGATGGCAGATGCTGCAGCTTGACCCTCGAGGCGCAGATGGCGCTGCCCACCACTTGGCGCCCCCATGTGGTCCGCAGCTGGGTCAGCCTGTGCTGCAGACTCCAGGGGAGCTCGTCCTCAGGGGGGCCCTGGGAAACGGGGGTCAGTGCAGGCAGGCAGGGGGGCCGGGAAAGGGGCTTGGGGTGCATGGTACTGACCTGCGGGGGTGCTGAGTGGCAGCGTTGCAACCCTCTCAGGAGGGCCATCTGCTTTTCCAGGTGGTAGAGCCAGCGTCCCAGCTCTGCCTGGCTGGGGCAGACCACCAGAAGGGGGGCAGGCAGTGGGCCTGTGGGCGGAGAGCAGGGGGGGCTGGGCCAGCACCCCCAGGAGAGGCCCCTCCCCAGCCCCCCCCCCCCAAAAACAGACCCCAGGGCTGCAGTTGGGGGGAGAATACGGCACTAACCAGGACCTGCTGCACTCCTCCCAGCCAGGCACACGGCCATGTGCCCATTGGAAGAAAAGTCAGGATCTCTCAACACTCAGGGTCCTGTCAATGTCCTTGGGCCTGGCCAGAGGGAGCTCTGAGGGAACCAGGTGCTCCCCATCTGCACTGGGGGCACCCCTACCACACGCCCTGGCCCTCTCACCTCCTGGGCGGGACTGCTCATGCCCACACACCTGTGATCTGGAAGGCATGCTCTCTGGAGTCCTCCATGGGGCAGATGCTCAGCTCCACCAGCGGTAACAGCCCCTGCCAGAGCCCAGCGGGAGGCTGAGCACCCCCAGGCGCCGTGGCCACCGCCTCGGGGGCTCCTCCCTGTCCCCCCAGCCTCCTCCCTCTGCCCACTTCCCTCACCTGGAAAGTGAGTCCCTCAGAACCGTGGGCCTGGAAGTAGAGGTGGGAAGGAAACAGCTCCAGGTAGCAGTCGCTGACATCCTGGGGGAGCAGGGCTGCTGTCTGAGCACCGGGGGGGCAGGCCGCGGGCTGGGTCCAGACCCCCACCCGGCCCGGCCCCCACCTGGCTATGCTGGAATCTCAGTTGGACCTTGGCATAGTGCACAACCTTGCCCAGGTTCCTCACAGGTACCCTGCGCCGCCCCTTCTTGAAAACGCTCAGGAACGGCTGGTCCAGGTGTTCTCGCTGGCTTTCCAGGCCCGGGAGGTCCTGCGGGGAGCACAGCTCAGGGGAGGAGGCCTGAGCGCCAGTCCACACACACACACACACACACACGCACGCACGCACACACGCACACGTACGCACACGCACATGCACACGCGCACACACACACACACACACACACACACACACTGCCTCACTGCCATGGTGGAGACAGTGATGTTTGGACTCAAAGGAGATTCCTAAGCCGTGTACCCTTATTTTGGTTATTCAGCCCCTACGTCTGGTTGGTCACAGTATTTTGGGTGTCTGAATGAGACAGTACTCAAAACCCTCCTGGCCCAGCTGGTGTGGTTCAGTGGGTTGAGCATCAACCTATGAACCAGGAGGTCACAGTTTGATTCCCAGTCTGGGAACATGCTTGGATTTTGGGCTCCATCCCCAGGGTGGGGCGTGCAGGAGGCAGCTAATCAATGATTCTCTCTCATTGATGTTTCTATCTCTCTCTCCCTCTCCCGTCTCCTCTGAAATCAATAAAACATATATTTAAAAAAAAAAACCCTGAATCTTCTATTGGCTGGTAAATGTTTAATCTGGTACTAAGAAAGGGGGGGCATGTCTGATGTATTTGCCAGTCCCTCCACAGGCCATTCTGAGCCACTGTGATGTCTGTGAACGTGGAGCTTGGAAGAGAGCCCGTGACCCTGATCTCCTGACGTCACTCAGTGGAGGCCTAAATGTGCCTGGACACGCTGCCTAGCCCTGGGCCCGGCGGGCAGACACCGGGCTTCCTGCCTGGCAATGGCTGAGGGGTCGCTGAGGACCTGCCCCCACCCTGACTCCTCCCTCACATCAGGCACATGCCCAGCTCAGGGCCTTTGAGTTTGCTGTCCCTCTGCCTGGGACAGTCCCCTCACCTCCTTCAGGGAGTGGCTCACGTTGCCTCCTCGTAACGCCCTGTCTGCCCCTCCAACTTCCCAACCTCCCTGACCCCTCTGCACACCTCAGTGCTAACCACATCTTCCTCATGATACCTTGTGCTCATTTGTCTGGCCGTCTGGCTCTGTGTCACAGGGATGGGAACACCCTGAGCACAGGGGGTTTGTCTGTTTTGGCCGCTGCTGCGTCGCCAGGGCCAGGACAGGTCTGAGATGTGCTGGGGGTTCAGTGCCTGCCTGCCGGCACCCACACACAGCCAATGCTGAGGCACGGAGAGTCCTCCACAAATGGGAGTCAGACTGGGAGTCAGATGGGGCTGCGGCTGGAGGGGGCGCTGTGGAGGGCCATGCTCCCTCCGGGAGCCGGCAGGGGCTGCCTCCCAGGCTGCCGTGCCCTGGCTGAGCTGAGCCGCCCCTTAGACAAGCCCAGGAATGTGCACAGACAGACGCGAAGCTTCCCGGCCTCCCTGCCTCTGGGTGGGGCCTCCTGCACCCACACCCAGTTCGGGGAATGATGCCGGGATGGGACTGTGAAAAATAGGCCACAGAGCAGGAAGGGCTGTGAAACTGGCCCTGTGGCCCGGGCTCAGCCGTAGGGTCCAGGGAGGAGTCAGCTCAGAGGCACCACGGGCAGGACCCGAGGAGAGCCGGCTTCTCCGGGGCCCCATCTCCCGACACAACATGCCGGTGCCCTGTCCAGCCACCCCCAGTCCTGGCAAGAGGACCGCCACACCCGGAGGGACTCCACCAGGCCCTAAGATGTGTGGGCCTGGACATCAGGAGCTGAGGTCCGAGACGGGGCCACATGGGACCCCATCCCTCTGAGGGAGCACGTTGCTGAAGCCAGTCCTTGCCCCAGGGAGCCCTGGACCTCAGGGGGCAGGGAGGGGCCAGCCTGCTGGGCACACATTGGTGGAAGCCCACACCAGCAGGGGACCAGCCGAGGCATGCTGGGCGGAGCCCTGGCCCAAGCCCCTGGCACAGTTACACCTGTTCCTCCTGCACCCTCCTGGAATGACAACTTGGGGGTCACTTCCCTCACATGCTGGGACCCATGCCAGTCATCTGGAATGCTGGGTGTCTCCCCCACAGGGGCTGGGCAGGGGGCGGGGTGGCTCTCAGCTCGGCTGTGCCAATCCTTGCAGTGTGGCCCTGGGGGTGGGGGTGGGGGCGCAGGGCGTTGCTACGGGAGGAGGCAGTGGTGAGTGCTGGATGCTGGGGGACGCCTGGGAAGGAACTGAGCCCTGGAATAGGTGCGAGGCGGGCTCACTGCTCACCAAGCCCCTGCCTCAGAGTAAAGAGCGGATGGGGCGGGATGCACGTCCACACAAGGAACACCACATCCAAGCCCACACAGAACAACTCAGACACGTGTGCTTGGTCCAACCCAAAGGTGCCTGGACACGCTGGCCAGTCCCCACCCGGCTGCAGA